TCTAAAAGAAATGTTTTATTAAATTTGCAACTCTCAACAAAATTATTTTTTTAGTTTTATTGAATTATTTTTTATAAAGATTGGAATGACTTTTTTATGTTCACACTTCATCATCATCCTTCAAACTCCCTATGGTTGGTTGGAACTCCATTGACAATACCTTTCCACACTGGTCTTGCATTGCTGTCCTCAGATTCCCAATGTTCAACCCTCAGTCCCAATCTCTGGTGTCTGAGAAAGTCAATTTTTGTGAGAAGACACTTTGAGAAGGATGTCATAGGAGTAAGGATGAGATGATAGCCATGTCTGCTTTGTGGCATTGGCCAACAAACTGTAATTGTTTTTGTTTGAGCCTAAGGGAGATTGGTCTCAATTTTCTGTAAAGTGTGTAATTTTACTGAAATAACATCTTTGGGGATTTTTCTTTGTATAACCATAAAAAAATAGCAAGCACCTTGTTAATTAAATTAATTCTGTAAATTTTGTTTAAATTTGATAATTTCCTGATTTTTGTTATATTTTTAAAAACAAGAGGATATCATTTTTTTTCATTTTGACAAAAATGCACCGTTTTGTTACCTCATTAATATTAACATTTACACATATATTTGAATTTTATTTTCCTCTGCATTCAGCAAATTACTCGGATCTTCGTCCTTGCTGTTTTTATTCACTATTTTTAAACAAATGTGTTTGACCTTCATTAGGTAAAAATCCCTCCATTTACACAATATCTGGCTTGCTTCAAATATTTGTTCTAGCTGTCAGACCATGTAAAATGAGAGATTTTTTACTGGCATCTAAAAAGAAAGAAATGTGGTTGGAAACTGGAAAGGCTTATGAAAAATATATTTATAAGAAAAATGTATTTGACATCTTAGTGAAGGTCTGATTAAATTTTGCTGAATTACTGTTGTCTTTATTAAGAAAATAAAAGGGAATATTTTGCTTAAAATATAAAATTGCAGATTTCAGTAAATTATATAGCAGCAATTAATGCTCAGGTAGTAATCCAATGTCTTATAGTTTTTATTTCTATCTAATAATTGGTAGGGCGGTAGTACTAAGATTAACAGTAAATATTGTTGCAAATACAATTATTTGTGACACTAGTAATTGCAGCAATTATAGTGTACAATGAGGAAATATGCATAAATCTATTTTTTTAGTTTATGAACATTCTTTGTAACATATTTGCATTAACATAACTTAAAATTTCACATTAGGTTATACTGCTAATAGTACTTATATAGGATCCAAATATAATAAAAATTAATTAAACTTTACAGAATCTTCAATGTTATGAAATTTATAAAGTTGAGATTGTATTTTTTTATCCAACAAGCTATATACTTCTGAAATTATTTTTTTTTTTAAATCTTTGTATGAAAAGAAACATTAAAAAAGGATATAGTCGGGTATTTTTTTTTTTTTTTTTTTTGCTCTGCTCTATGATTTTGAAGTTTAGGATTAAATCTAATTCTTAAGCCAACTTGAATCAGTTGATATTTTTATCCCAATGTGTGATTGGTTTGAAATTTACTGCAAACTTATAAATAAATAATATTGTACAATTGGCTACTTGGTGTGGGGTTCCATTCTTGGTGACATATCAGTTACATATTATAGCATGTTGATATACAGGAATGAGGACTAATTTCAAGTCATGACAAATATTGTTTCCTCAATTTTGTATTTAATAGTAAAGCCTGTGCTTGAATAGGTTTGTATGTGAAAAGCAAAAATTTATTTTTTCCATAAAAATTGTTCACACAGATTTCAAGCATAAATAGATGTATAAAGATATTTATTTCTATTTTTTTTCAGCCTTGAGAATGATTATGGAACTAAAGAAGAAGTCTATGGACAGTTTTGAAAATAAAATGAAAGCAGTTTCAAATGAAATCTGTTTGTACTCCAATAGAACAAGAAAAAGGTGCTGCTGTCACATCTGTTTAAGATTATTGAAAAAAGTCTGTATTAATCATGGACATTTGTCATCACAGACTGACAACAAAACAACCATTAAGGACAATGATTTATTAATTTCTTTGCCACTATCTGCTCCTTTATCACAGCCAACAGAACTGCAAAGTAGATGTGAAGAAACACCAAACAATATGTACTTTCAAAGAAATCGAAGATTAAAAATTAAAAGATCCAAATCGCTAGAAGATTTGAATGTCATTAACAGATCTGAGACTGAGAGTATAATAAACCTAAATGATATTAAATTTTGTCAATCTAGTGAGAATAAAAACCATAAACATTCCTTTTCTGAAAGTACTGGCCTGTCTCATCAAAGACTTGGGACAGATTTAAAAGAATCTGCTTCCAATGGTTCTGATTCTGAAGAAACCTTACCTGATCCAACTGTCAGTTTTATTTCATCAGAAGATGATGACGATGAAGACAACAAAGAATTACCAAAGTCGGTTGAAAATATTCAAACCAAAAAACATTTGGTATCTTCTGAATCTAGTCAGGAAGATATTTCAAGTGAATGCCTTGAGATAAAACAAGAAGTGATTGAAGATGATTATTCTGTGCCTTTGTTCAACTACTCTCAAGAAGATGAGGTAATTCTGATTTATGACTCAGATGAACAAGATATTGGCAACTCACTAGAGACTAATAAACAATTTGAGATCAGTAAGAATGTAGGTCAGATTTCTCCATTTGACAGCATCAATAATTTGGAGGATGCTGACACTCAGCCATTCTCTGACCTAAATGACGATACCAAAGAAGACCAACAGCATACTGAAAGCCCTTGGCAAAATATTCAGACTGAAAAGTCTTCTGCTGTTTTGCAACCATTTAAGAAGCAAGAGGTACTGATTCATAGTACAAGCCCAAAGTTTATGAAGAACAAATGTGACAATTCAACTAAAGGATCTTTTAAAACTTGTCACATGTTGGTGAAAGATATAAAGCAAGAGACAAAAAGTGATTCTGATGATTCTGATGATCTGTTCAGGGATGAAATATATAACAAAGCAACTCAATTATGTATGGAAACTGAATGGGAGCAGGTAGATGTCAAGCTTGAAAGGGATGAAAAGGTTGTAAAGAAGCCCTATCCACTTCGAAGGACAAAGGTTCATGATTTAGTTGAGTCTAAAAATGCTGATTCAGTAGAAGTGATTCAAAAACCAAAAATAGATAACAAAATATCATCTGATGACGATGATGATGGTGATTTGAAGGAAAGTCTTGCAGATGATGGGGATCGAAATGTTAGAATAAAAAAAGAGTTAAAAACAAAACATTTGAATGATGTTTTCAATTGTCCTACTCAAATAGACAGTCATTCAGATGCAATAACGAATACCAGCACATTGGAAGAGGGATCTAAAATTAAATCGGTGACATCACTGATAGAGGATGCTGATAAAAAGAGTGCTAAAAGACGATGGAAAACTAGTTCCTCTTTCTATGATGAGATTGATAGTGATGATGATCTCTTTTGGTGTGCTACACAGGTTGATTCAAAATCTAATAAAGAGAAGCTACTTAACAAAGAACCTTTTGTGGTGACTGACTCAGATGAAGATAGTGAGAGCAATAATGCATATATGATGGCCACTCAAGTTGATATAAAGCTAAAAAAATCATCTTCCAGAGGTTCAAAGAGCAGCAGTACTTTCGAGCGTCTTGGTTTTTCTCAGGCCAAGGCTTCAGAAAAAACATTTCATAATGAGTCTTGGTTCTCCAGCATTTCTAGGTTTCCTGAGGAAGATTCAGACAGTGATGAAAGTATGTTCTCTGTGGCTACTCAGGTTGATGACCAACATGCACCAAATAAATATGAAGATGAGCAAGCATATATGACCCAGACACAAGTGGATCTCTCATACACATCCCCAAAGCATAAAACTGGCAAAACTTCTAAACCTCAAACTTCTAGTCTGAATGTCAAAAAGAGAAAGATAAAACACAGAAAAGATTCACATTACAAATGGTTAACTGATTCATATGAAACTGCTGACCATTCTGATAGTGATGACAGTGTCTTTTCATTGGCCACACAAATTGACAATAATGACATTGATGATGATAGTCTTTTTATAGCAGCTACAATAGTAGATCCAGAGCCAGTAAGAAGTTTTAAGGTTCCTTTGAGTCACAAAACATACAAGGTAAAACCTAAAGGTCTAAGTCAGAATTCAAAGTCTTTTTTAAAAGCAGATGAAGATTATGATAGTGATGATAGTGTTTACTCTGTTGCTACACAAGTTGATGCTGAATCACCCAGCAGCAGTAAGATCTCCAAGTTACATTTTAAGAATTTGAAATCTAAGAATAAAAGCACTCTAAAGTCTGTATGCATCTCAGCTGAAGATTATGACAGTGACAGCAGTATGTATTCAATAGCAACTCAAATTGATACTCCAATATACAAGAGGAAAAGTGATCAGAAAGATGAGGAGGAAGAGAATGATACAGCATATTTTGTTGCCACTCAAGTTGATGCTGATATAGTTGAATCTATAAAAGAAACTAGACCTATGTCACCCAAAGAAAGTATTTTTAAAGTTCCACCATTTCCAAGGAAAAAACTAAAAACTTCATCTCCCATAAGCAAAGATTCTAAAAATACTGCTTCCAGCCACAAACAAAGTAAAGAGATGGTCATGAACACTGAATCCGTAGACAATAAACCATACAGTAATTTCTTGTTTGGAATTGCTGAGGAGGAGGTGAAAAAGGAAATTGTGGTTATAAGTCCTGAAAAAAAAGAGGATGTTGGTAACAGTGAAGAAAATGAGAAAGAATTTAGCAAATTTTTATTAGATCTTAGTGATGTTCCCGCATCAGAGCAATTGAAATCTAAAAGCAAACCCATCTCTCAGGCAAATCCTGTTGAACCTCTTCGATTGAGAACAAAAAAGGAAATGCGAGAGTCTTTTAAAAATCAATTAATAAAAGATGCTTCAAACAAGATTGTAAGACCAGAAGAAAAATTAAACCAGAAAAAGGATTCAAAAATTCCTCCAATGAGTGACACTTGGCTCTCCAAATACAAGAAACCACCAATCCAAAAGAAAACAAAATCAAAAGAAGAAGTTGTTATTAGTCGGAACATCAGTGAAGCCAGAAACCGGTTGGAAGAAAGGTACTTCTTATCACACCTTGATAACAGCAGAGTTGGATGGAATAAGGCCTCACACATTCATTATGGTATATATTGCTTTTATCTCTTACTAATTTCTTATTTACAATAACATTGTGAAATTTTTTCTTATCTTAATAGTAAATTTTGCTTCTGTATTTTTTGTTTTCTATCTGTAAAGGTTCTTCTTCAACTATCACTGATGTCCAGTTACCTGATGAAGATGAAATTAGAAAAAAAGGGCTTCCTGTCATTGAAGGTCCTCGGCAACGCAGGCCTCTTCCAGACAACCCAATTGAGCATCTCCCTGAAGAAAAACAGCTTGACATCTGTGAACCATCAGTTAATACTCTAACTAATACTATAGAACAGGGAAAAAGTCCTGTAAAAAGTCTCCCCATTCATACTAGTACAAATCTCCCAAAATCTCCCGGTGTTGCAGTTAGTACTCATTTTTACAGAAGCAGTGGTCTGGATACATTTAAGATCCCAAAACTTCCCAATTTAAAACCCAAGCTACCTTTTAAGTCAGTGCCTCAATGCACATTGAATGTGCAGGAAGTAAACATAACTGAAAAATGTCCCTCCAAATCCTCAACAGAGTTGATTACTCCACTATTACAAACAAAACAAAAAATTACTGATGGTAATATAACAAATAAACTAATAAGGAGGAGTGCAAATTTTGGATACCAAACAAAACAGACATTCTCTAGCTGTGATAGCACAAGTTCTTCTACAAAGAAACAAACCAATGTAAGTACTTTGTTTGATGTACCATGAAATATTATTTAATGATGTTTTGGGATTATTATCACTAGATTTCAGCTGGTCACTTCTCTTTCTTTCTTCCAATACATTTGTTATCTGGTGAATAGTTTTGAATGTTTCTTTCTGTATAATATCACTCATAGGATTCCTATTTTTTTAACACTATTCATGAGATAACAAATACATCTGAAAAAAATCTTTAGACTTGATCAGCCAAAATATAAAAACTAGTATGAGGATAAAAAATTCCCCAAATAATAGAATAATATCCATAAATAAGTCAGTGTTATTTTTTTCACAGTCTGTCTATATTTCTGAGAGGAGGTATTATGTACATTATTTACATTATTCGGACTATTGTCTTCATCTTTGTCGCCATATTTATCACAACGTTTCGGCCATTGTACACTCTAGCCTTCTTCAGGTGATTGGAATGTTGTTTATTTCACTCACCGGGGTAGACTGTTCTAGTTCCACGTGCCATGTTTGATGGATGTCAGTTATTATCAACGCCTTTATCCATTGTGCCATGTGTCCTTGACACATGGCACAGTGGATAAAGGCGTTGGTTAGATCCAGTGACAGGACCCAAAGAGTGTGAGTTCAATAACCGGCTAAGGCAGTGGAGAACTTTCAGAGGGAAATTAACAGGAGATAACTGATAACTGACATCCATCAAACATGGCACGTGGAACTAGAACAGTCTACCCCACTGAGCAAAATAAAGGGTTCGGTTCAACATTCCAACCACCTGAAGAAGGCTGGAGCGTACAATGGCCAAAACGTTGTGATAAATATGGCGACAAAGATGAGGACAATAGTCCGAATAATGTAAATAATGTTATTTTTTCCTTGATTTTTATCTGTATACTTTTATGAAAATTTTAGTAAAGGCACTATAACCTAGAAATAAGTTATTGAATTTGGAAATCCATGATGCAGTTTCAAATCCAACATCATTTAGTATTAATATTATTGAAGAAGTTACATATTTCAAAACTCTTTCCAAAAATATATATATATATATATAAAGATGTACCAAGGCTCAAAATTAATATCATCAAATTGACAAGAGAACATTAATATGAGACAACTGGTTAGAGCTTTTAGGACAGTGTCAGGACAATACACAATTTTTAAATAAAATTCTATTATATTTATTAATGATGTTTTGGAATTATTACCACTAGATAAGCAATCAATGTTTGAATTAAAATTCTTACTTCTTGCCAATAGACAGGCTTTTGATAAATGGAATGTACACACACACAAGCACTTCTTTTTTGGAGAATGAAACCTGAATAAAAAAATAAAAGTTGAAGAACTTAAATTTAGATATTTGTATTATTACTTTCCAAATATGAAAAGCATTAGGATTGAATTTTAAGAACTAATTTTGCTTTAAACAAGGCAAGAAATTTTTTTTTTATTTTTTGGTTAAAAATAATATGATTTATGTGTTATGTTTATGGTATATCATAAACTAAGTTGAAAATAAAAAGAAGACTTTAAAAAATAAACAAATGGAAAATTTAGGCATGATGTGAGGCAGGTAATTGTAAATGAAAATGTTTTTGATAAAGCCTTTAAAACCTTTTCAATTCTGAATAGTTGGAATGTGCAGGTATTTTTTATATAAAAAGTAAATGCATAGAGCACAATTTTTACATTAAAGTCAAATAAAAGTTACTCTGAACATGAAATTAAGAAGAACTCCATGTAAAACTAGTCAGGGTGATCTACTTGAAATGTTTAAATAGAAATAGTTGTGATTTTTATCAAATTTATAGTAAAATTTAAGTAATTTTTTTTGCATTTTATGAAACTATTTTAACTAGACATTTTAATAGTGGTTTTACGTTACTAACTATAAGTGATAACAGTTAAAAAAAACACTTCTTTTCTAGTGAAAAATGTTAATCTGGAGCTCTGATATGTAAAGAGGAAAAAGTTGATTTAAAAAGTAAAGTTGATTATAAAGTGGATCTCTTGTTGAGAGCAGACTGAATATATTCTTAATTGGACTTTCTTTGTATTGAACAAGTGTTTACAAACAAAAAATGATAATGAGATAACAAATTGAGAAACTCAATCAGAGGAGAGATGTAGCAAGGAAAATGTAGACATTTGTTTTTTATCAGTTATGCAAATCAGCACTAAAGTTGAATATATAGTTTCATGAATTTTTGCATGCATCAATGTCTACTGCTCTTGCAAATATATACATTCCCCATTTACTAATAAATTGTTTTATTTTTCCTTTATATAAAGACAAAAAAATTGAATAAAAATATTTTTATTAAAATAAGCATCAGTGCAGAATGGCTGCTTTTACTATGATGAGTAGATATGTCAAATTTAGATTTTTGTTCATGTCAAAGTTAGTCTGACAATAATTCTTAGTGTTTCTTTATATATGGAAAAAAAATTATATATTTATAAATAGAAAAATAGGAAGTGGAAAGCAATATTCAAATATCAAGGTGAGGAATTTAAATTATATTTAATAATATTTATATTTGTAATTTATATTTAAATCTAATATGGGTTTTATTTAATGCCATTTTCATTTTAGTATAAAATCTATGCTTTTATTAATTACTATGTTGCATGTTATTCTTTTCATTTTCTATGTTGGTTGAACAGTCAATTTTTGTACTGATTTTTACATAACTAATTTTTTTAAGAATGGGAAAAATGTTAATATGTTGTTTAAAGTATCAGAGTTGCCTATGGAGATTGCAACTGTGCGCATATCTTATGTGCACCATTATATCATCTGTTAATGTCAGAAGATTGCAACAATAAATGCTTCATCTGAACAAATGAATGATTCTTTTAAGTAGTATAAAGTATCAGCAGTCAATCACTGCAATGATTGTTTCCTGGCAAAAACATTTACACATTGCAGATGATATTGATGAAAACAGTTGAACTGATAAGAAATAACAAATGGTTGAAATCAAAATGTAGTCTAAGTTTCTGAAAGACTGTCTTTCACAAGATAATAAAAAATGTACACTTAATAGAATTTCCATTCAATGAAAGAATGCTTATAAAACTTATATTTTCCTTTTTTAATCAATAGTTGCTCCATTTTTACGTTTTGTAATTATATCATTGTTTAGTTTTTTGTTTAAAAAAAACAAAAAAATACTATTCTCTCATTGTAGTATCCAGCTAGTGTTGCTACTCGAAATACTTGCTCTGATAGCAAAAATCAGTGTCTTCAGAATAGAAGGATTTATTCAAAAAATTCAAGGGATTTACTCTTGGAGCATTTACTGAAATGGAATCCTAAGTGGTTAACTGAACAGAGTAAGTATTCAGTGTTTTTATTTCCCCTTTATAACTGCTTCTCTTTTTGAGTCAAATCTTTTCCAGGTTATTTGAATCAGCTTTCTTTTCATTTTGCATTGACTTTATTTCAAACACAGTATTTATTTACAAAAGGTAAATTTTCAAACTTTTGTTAATATTGATACCTGCTGAAGAGTTATTAGTTGCTAATGAGTTCAGTATTTATTTGGTGTTCTGCTATTGTGACTTTGTAGCAGACTCAAGTAAATATCTAGGCTGCTTGCTCTAGAACAACAGTAACAAACTAGGGAATACAAACCTAAGGTATGTACTAAAGAAGAAAAAAATATTCTCAAAATGTTTCCCCATTATGGACATTATTATATCCATGATATAATAATAATAATAATAATATAAGTGATAATATATACATGATAAATAACACCTTAATTCATGGACAGAACAGAATAGCTGAAAGAAAAGGAATGACAAATATGCTTTGTTTTCAAAGAGATTTTTATACTACTAAGTCATGCATAAAATTTTATACAAATATTTACACTTGTCCCTCACAGAAACTATAGCACAACAAGAAACAGTGTGAAAATGATGAAGAGATATAGGGTCTTATTTTAAAAAATTGCCAATGGGAATTTGAGGTGCCAGAGAATTCTTCTGTTTCTGGAGAAGTCATATTTTTCCCAATAGAAAAACAGTAGGGCATGTGGTGTGATCATATTTATATTTCTCAATGAGAATTTAAGCAGGCTGGATTTATCTTCTATGTATCTGGTGAGGACATATTTCCCAACAAGAAAATTGCAACTCATGTGTATTTCTCAACTGCAAGCCAGAGATAGTTTACATATTTCTTAATAGGAATTCTAGTGGACTGGATTTATCTTCTGTTTTGTGTATTTTCCAATCAGAAGACTGCCAACTGTAAATATTTTCTGTATTTCCCAATATTAAAATGTCACTATGGATTTGTGTGTTGCCCACATGGCAGCTAACTGGACAGGCTAGTTTAACTTTGTCTATGCTAAAAAAGTACATCTCCTCTTTACTGCAGGTGTGCAAACTGACTGCTTTTGTCACTCTTTGAACTGACATCACTCAGCTGCCATCGTGTGACCCTCATGACTTTATCTCAACCAAAGGGAAATAATCTCTTTTTGTATCCCTACAAATCTATAGAATGCTCTACTGTCATGACACTGTGCCAAACTAGCTTTAGTAAAAAAAAAAATTTATTTAAGTAAAACTTTTTGACATCCTGATATATAATAATGTGCTTGTTCTTATGAGATTGTCTTTTCTGTCTTTCTTTTCAGTAACCCTGATGTGTAGCAGTTCTTTTAAGTGCTATACTAATCAGATATACATTGTCAATAAACTTATTCAAACATGCTTTTTTTCTTGCCATATCAGAGAAATTTTCTATAAATAGAAGTTGAAATCAAAATATGAAAAGGTTCAAATTTGCCTTCTAAATTTCTTTTTTTCATTTTGTTAGAGAATATAAAAACAATTCCTCCTATTGTGAAGATGGATCAACTTCTACCCTTGCTTAATAGTTATGCATCCCTGGAGGATTACCAGTCCATATTTAAACCTCTCCTACTTCTTGAAATATGGGAAAGTGTAAGTATATAAAACCAAATTAACTCTTGCTATTTTTCATACATGATCATTGTACTGATCACTACAAGCCTCACAAGTCCTAAGTAAAATTAAATTTTGGTTTCTGATAGAAGCCCAAAGAGAAATCCAGGTAAACTTGATGTTATCCAATTAACTTTTTCTACTTCCTTCAATATGCTGTGGAGACAAAAATAATTCTCATTGTTGGTTTCAATCCCATAAGGAATGACTGCAGAACACTTACTTCTCCCGTTTTATAGGCAAAAGCACACAAATGCATGCCGGGAATTTTTTTCTTAGCCAATAAAATAGTGCAGTTTGACATGACTCAGTCTCACTCTGCCTTGTTTAGGAGACAGAATGCAATGTTTGCTTGTCTGAACTTGCTTTTGTGCATTGATGCCAATTTTTAGTTTGTGAACTTTTTGCCGCCTTACCTGTTAATTTCCCTGTATATTGTTTGCTTGCTTTGCTTGATGTTATTTCATTTTTGCCCTGTTTCTTTTTCTTTTTATTGCAAACGTTGTTAATTCTGTTTGTTGGACAGGTCTGCTATTTATTTTGTATTTTACCATGGCTACTCACTGTATAAGTTATGAGCTCAGGGATAGACTCTGTTTCAATGGTGATTAATCAAAATATGAACTATCAGAGGTAAAATTTTTGGGTTAGATGTGAATCCAGAAATTACATAAAACAGTCTTGGCACCATTTGATCGTCCGAATGATAAAGAGTACTGTGAAGAGAATGCAAATGTGTTTGCCAAATTAATTCAATTTCTCGATGATCGAAGCCTGTCTCTTCTATTATGAGAGAAGACTCTGATGATGGGAGAAAAGTGCTGTAAATTTTGAGAGATCACTGTTTATCAAAAGGAAAACCAAAAATAATTTCCTTGTATACTGAATTAATCTCTCTATGCAAAGCAAGTGTCGAAATGTGGTCACTTTATTAAAAACATCAGGGGAGGTAATTGGTGATGGTTTACTAATATCTATGGTCCTAAAATGTCTCCCATCTAATTTCAAGCCATTTACAACTGTTATTATTCTGAAAGACAAGCTACTAATGAATTCAAAGTGGCATTGCAAAGCTTTGAAGAAACTGAAACAATGATTCAGGGGAATAACAGTGAAAAAATATCTTAATGACTCTCTGAATGCCAAGCCCAAAGTCACAAACTAATGTTCCTATCTGTTGTGGTAAACTTGGACATAAAATCCCCAATTGCTGAAGTAAATTTTGGAATTACCCACTAAATAATAATTCCCCCTGAAAATGCTATAATTGCAATCCACCAAACAAAAATATCTGCCATGTTTGTCACAGATCTGGACATAAAAGTACCAAGTGCAGAAACAAAAATTTATTTCATAAAAAAATGAATATTTAACTGACATTGCTCTGTATGGCACTATAAAATACCTAAGAAGTGATAACTGGACAGAATTCACTTCAGAAAACTTTGAAAATCTTTTAATTAATAATCAAATTAAAAATGAGAAATTGGCTCCATACTCTCCACACCAAAATGGTACTGCTGAACAATCTTGGTAATCTCTATTTGAAATGAGTATATTTCTATTTCTATTACTAGAATTGAACCTACCTCTTATGACTGCTGCATATATTAAAAAATGGTGTTACAGTCAAAGAACTAAAAAAACTGCCTTTGAAATGTTTATGGGTCACAAACCTAACCTTGCCAATATGCATACATTTGGCACAACTTGATATGCATACATACAAGATGGAAAGAAATTAGGCACTAAAAGTGAAAAAGCAATTTTCATATGCTACGATAAATTATGTCCTGCCTAATTAATATATATATCTGAAACTAAGAACGTCAGAAGAGTAAAATTTACTGAAAACTTTGAAAATCATACATCTGACAATTCTTTATATCTGGTTGAAGAAAATGATGCAATACTTCCCAACTATTTACGGAAAAATCCTTGTGGGGAGGGGGCACAAGAAATAGAAACTACACAATCAAGTCCAAGTGATAATGCAGGAGATAATCTTAATGCAGACATACCTGACAGACAATATCCAAGCAGGTTACGAAAAATGTGTAAATATTTAAAAGATAACATTGTTAAGAATTTAGACAGTCTAATAAATCTGACTATAGATTATTGATATTCGGTAAAGAATATAACCGCTAATTATAATGAAGGTATTACTTCAAATGACTCCATAAAATGGCAAGATGACATGAAAAAAGAGACAACTGCTCTAAAAACAAACAATACATATTAATTAACAGAGCTTTCACCTGGTAAAAGTGTTGTAGGAAGTAACTGGGTTTACACTATTAAAACTAATAACATTAATAATGAACAGTTCAAAGTGAGGTTTGTTGCAAAAGGCTCCTCACATAAAACCTGGAATAGATTATCGTAAAATTTTCTCCCCCACAGAACGTTTATCATCAGTAAGAACTTTAATGCAATTAGCTATTCAACATAATTTATTTGTCCACCAAATGGATATAAAAACGGCATATTTAAATGTATATGTTCAACAACCTGAGGGTTATTCCATTACCAGCAAAGACTAATGACAAACTTGTATGGCAACTAAAAAAATAATCTTTATATGGACTTAAATAAAGTGGACAAAATTGGAATCAAGTCCTACACATATATTTAATTGGTCAAGGTTTCTCTCAATCCTTGGCAGACTCTTGTATTTACACAAAGAACATTTCAAATACAATATTGATTATGATTGTTTGGGTTGATGATATACTAATTGCTGCAAGTTGCAATTCTGTGTTAATTAATGTAAAAACACGTTTGAATGAACAATTCAAAATGACTGATCTTGGAAAGCTTTCTTTCTCTCTGGGCATACAATTTACATTTAAAAATAATGATAGACGTGAATCAAACAAAATATATTGAAAAGATTCTAACCAAATTTGGAATGCAAGATTGTAAACCTTGATCATCACCTTGTGAAATGAATATCAATCTACTGGACAAAAGCAATGTTGAACCAGCAGAGAGAAAATACTACCAAGAGATAGTTGGCAGCCTGATATATGTTATGATAGCCACTTGTCCAGATATAAGTTTAGTGTTTAATAAATTGAATAAGCCCCTAACTTTAAGAGGTTTTTGTGATGCTGATTGGGGAAATTCAAAAGACCACTGTAGTATTACAGGATACAATTTCCAATTATTACCAAACAATTCAATGATTTCGTGGAAAACGAGAAAGCAATCTACAATAGTGTTGTCAACATGCAAAACTGAATACATGGCATTGATGTCTGCAATACAAGAAGCAAAATTCCTTATTCAATTATTATCCACCATGAATAATGCAACTAAAAAAAGAGCAAGCCACTATCCATTGTGATAATCAAGGTACCATTGCTCTGGCTAAGAACCTGGTCTACCATCAGCATTCAAAACATGTAGACATAAAGTACCACTTTATAAAGACTGAAATTAAACCTATTGGCAGAACAAAATTCTTTACTGCTCTAAATGGAGCACTATACTGAACATTTTTCATTTTTTTGGCATTTTGATTGCCACATTATTTTGTTTTTATATTCCCTTGTTTTTTTATTACCCACTTTTTGTATATAAAAAGAAAAGTGAAAGAGAAAAATGTTTAAAAAAAAATTTGAAATATTAAAAGTTGAAAATAAATATCAAAAAAAATTTTTTTTGAAATATTAAAACAAAAACATTTGTTATATATGCAATGTGAATTATATATATATATGTAAATGTTTGCATGTATCTTGTTTGTATTTATTGACCCCATGGAAGGTAGGGGATTTAGAAGAAGTAAATATGATTGCACTCATATGATTGCACTCATCCATTAGATTGAGGGAGGGTGTATATTTCAATCCCATAGGGAATGAATGTAGAACACTTGCCTCTCCTCTTTTATAGGCAAAAACACACAAATGCTTGCTGGGATTTTTTCTTTAGCCAATAAAATAGGCCAATTTGCAGTTTGACATGTTTCAGTTCCGATCTGCCTTGTCTAGAAGACACAATCCTATTTTCGCTTGTCCAAACTTGCTTTTTTTGTGTCAGCACCAATTCTTAATTCGTGAACATTTTGCCTTCTTACTTGTTAATTAGTCTTACATATATTGTTTGCTTGCTTACTTGATATTTTATTTTTGCCCTATTCCTTTTTTTTTTATTGTAACTTTGTTAATTCTGTTTGTAGGACATTATTTATTTTGCATTTGACTATGGCTACTCACTACACTCTCATTATAGGGTACCTTGTCATGGAGTAGTGTCTAGTGAGCCAGTCACACAGATAAATATACTGTAATTGTTTGATGCACACTTGTGTCAGAATAAACTAAGTAAATAGATGTAGACCAGCCTGCCTTTTGGTTGAGATCATTATGTATTCCCCCCCCCCCCAAGAGGTGAGATGTCAGTGTTTGCATTCATGTAAAAAGTTGGAATTGTCATTTTTGAAAAATTGGAATAAGACAACTTCTTTCATCAGACTTTAGGTAAAAGTAATATAAGCTTAGTTAATATTTATATTCATCATATTGTTTCCTCTCTAACATTTTTAAAAATATACTTTTGCAACTGCTTGTCATTGGGCTACTGTTTTTATTATATATATATACATATATATATATATGAGGAAACATTTATAAATTTATCATTTCATTTTTATTAAAACTTCATCAGAAAAAGAGATATGGAGAAAAAGAGAGAAAAAATTCTGGTATTTTTAATTTTTGTGTTTGTCTTTCATTGATTAATCAGACTTAATGTGCAGCTGTTTTGTCAAGTATAATTTATGTGTTTAAATGTATCATGTTTCTAGTTTGTCTATGCAGGATTTGGATGATAATGTATATTTGTGTGTGAATGTCTTGTAGGCATTTTTATTTGTTTGCTAGTTGTCAACATGTTGATTTGGAGATGTTTTGTGAGGTTTGAAAAATTTACAAAACACCAGTAACATGTATCAGATTCTTTAAGTATGGATTATATAAAAAAATAAAAATGCCTACTAGACATGCACACACACAAAATGAATATACATTATTATCGCATGGACAGTTACACACAAATTGTACATGTAAACAATGCTTGACAAGACACATGCACATGAAGTCTGCTTAACCAATGAAAAACGAATATCCATATTTCATTCTCTGATGAAGCTTTAACATGTTACATTTATAAACGGCTCCTATTTGTTCCTTATCCTTTCCTATCACATATTTATGGGTGCAGCAGTAATACCTCTCATATAATAGTAAGACATTAGTGGCAATTGTGTCTTAATCTAGCTCATGTCTTGCCATTATGTGGGCTCTATATATGGGAGGTAATTCTGCTGCACCCTGTCTGTCTGTGTGCGTGTATGTATATATATATATATAAACAGTGTGGACACTGCTCAACACTGAATGGCAACAGTCTATTTCATGGAGATGGCCTGAAGATTGCATATATGCATGTCGCCATTTGATGTTAATACTCTGTATCTGCACAGCTTATATTTACATATGCTCTATCCCAAATATTGAGCACTTTTACCCTAAAAAATATAACATACCTTAAAACTATATTTTATCATATTTTTATTTTTCCATTTTTGATCCTGTCATATATATATCTTCATTTTATACAATAGTACTTTGCTTTGCATTTTTTTTTCTAGAATTTGTTAAAGATAAATTTTAAAAGATTAAAATATTACCTAATTAAGTTAATGGAAGGGATTTCAGAACATTTCTATTTCATCAAAATTCTAAATTGTAAACTGGTGTAAAACTATTGATTGATCCTGAATCCATCATAAAAATTCAGAATGTGGAATTAATAAACTTTAAACATTTCAAATACCTTAGTGTATGGATTAGTTATAACAAATTTAGTATCAGAGAAAAGGTAATTGAACATCAAATAGTCTTTGCTGGGGATAGTTTCACTCAGCACCACAAGTTGCTACAAAACCAAAATATTAACCTAAGAATTTGAGTCATGTATTTTGGTAGCCTCTTCAGATCTCAATTCTCATCTGGATGTCATGCATGTTATCCAACTCATTCAGAAATGTCTAAACTATCAGCTATATACAATCTTTTTTTCTCAGATCAATGCTTAAAAATAGCTTCAAGTGAATGAATCCTCGATTTCTTAATGAAAACAATTTTTCATCAAACTTTATAGACTGACGCTATATAATCACAAAGAATTTTACCAAATAACAAAAATCACATCACTTGAACACTTCCAATAACAGCAACTAAAATGGATAATACATGTAACTAGGAAAATAATGATATAATCAAGACTCTGAGATTCCACACCATCTTAATGAAAAGGATAGGAAGGAAGCTATCATCTATACTAGAAAGAGAAATAATAATGAACTTGTGAATCTTCCTGTAAAACTGTTGAAACTGTTTTAAGAGAAAGATTTTATAAATTTCAACTGACAAAAATATTAATTGTTTTGTCAATAAAATATAAATCTATCCTGTATGGGAATGGCTATCCTCACTGTCAGCATTACCATTAAATTTCTTTTTCCAAACAGTTGTTTTAAAATTGAATTAATTAACTGAGGATTTTTAAAATAACATTTTAGACATATATGTTTTAATTACAGATTTCCAAAGATTTTTCAGAAAATTGTTCCAAGTACAGAGGATGGCAAGTAGCTTTTAGTAATGTGCAGACCTTGAATTCCTACTTAATGGACTACATTGTTTATGGTAAATATACCACTTTTATAATAATTGGAAAAAAGTTATTTTCTTTTTGACAGAGTTTGAAAATCTCTTTTTTATTGTTAGGCTTTGAAAGGAAATTTAAAAAAAGAAATTAAGTCTGTTTTATAATTAGTCATGATAAATCTTAATTGTAATATGCAAATATGTCTCGGAAACTTTATATATTTCCATGTATTTAAAACTGTTGTTAACTAAGTATATGTGTCAGCTGCAAAGTTCATAGGCTGACCAAGATATTCTTATGGAATGGGATCAAATGAGGTTTATTTTTTAATATAGTTCCCTTTGCGCTCTACAAACTACTTTCATTGGTGTTTTAGTGCTTTGTGAAGAAACTTTCGTCCTGTTGGTCAAAGAATTCATCAACAACAGATATATCATCATCACTGTACTACTGGTTCCCAGCCAAATGTTTCTTTATGTTTAGGAACAAATGATAGTCAGATAGGGGTCAAATTAGGAGAATAGAGAGGGTGATCAAATAGTTCAAAGCCACAGTCACACACAGCAGACATTGAAACCAAAGACTTGTGTAATGGAGCATTGCCCTGATGAAACAAGATGCCTTTCGTCAGTTTTCCTGGGTGTTTGGTCTTGATAACCTTTCATAACAGCTTCAGCAAGGTGGCATAGTACTATTCATTGATGGTGTGGCCCTTTTGAAAATAGTCAATAAATGCAATGCCTCAAAAATTTGAGGCCATCACCTTCCCTGCAAATGAAAACCTTGGCCTTTGGAGCAGGTGAGGAGAGGTGTTTCCACTGCATGAATCCAACACTCATCCTAAGTTAGCAAACATTTAAGGAAACCACTTAGATCTGCCTCAAACAATGTCAGATTTTCTTATGATGTGATAAGTCTGGTGTGCTTTTGATTTGGTCAGCTGCTAAGAAAGTTGGTTCACCATTCTAGACAATTTTTCTCTCCTGAATCTGTCTTACATATCTATAAGTCTACCATTTGTCCATGCTTATAATATTGCTGCCACATATGGTCCAGTGATCCTGCTATTTATCTAGAGCTGCTTGATAAAATCCAAAGAATCAGCAATATTATTGGTCCTGATCTGGAGTCTCAGCTTCAGTCACTTTCCCACCAGTGTAAGGTTGCCACCCTGTACCTTTTCTATAAATACTTTCATGGTAATTGTTTGGGTGAGCTTTTCTTTATGGCACCTAGACTTCTTGAATTACTATTACTGGCATTGAGATCTCATCAATTTACAGTTAAGTTGGCTAAATGTAACTGGAAATTCTATGTTAACACAGTTTCTTTTTCTTACATTTCTGATTTGTAGAACTCCCTTCCAGTTCCATACTTTCCAGCCAACTTTAATCTTCAGAAGTTTAAATGCAATGTCAATCACTACCTACTGTCTTCTGATTACACTTCTTTTGTTCTTGTTCCTTTGTAATGTTTCTATTTGTAATTCTTCCACACCCTGTAACCCTTTGTGTCTTAGTGGCTTTACTGCCTTGCTTGAGAGGAACTTGATTAAAAGTGTCAGAAGATGTGGCACCTACCAAATAGAAACCTCTATTATGTCAAGTTTGTTTTGCAGAATATTCTCAACTCTCTCACAAGATATGACCAATAGCATTGGCTATTTGATTTATAGTCAATTGCCTGTCATCCAACACCATGTAGTAAACACTATCAATGTTTTCCTTGGTGGTGACAGTTTCAGGATGTCCAGACCTTAGGTCACCTTAAAGACTTTCTCTTCTCCTCTTAAATTCAGTTGCCCACTTTTTGCAGTGTTAATAAAGCTGGAGCATCATCCCTTAATGTAGCAACCATGTCAGCATGAATCTCCTTGGAGGCTAAAGCCTTTTTTCTGCAGGTACTTGATAGCACCACAATGTCAAATTTTGTCAGTTTACCTGGAAATAAATAATGCAGTTATTAATAAGAAATTAATGCATGCAAGATTTCACAACTCTAGCATCATTCCTTCATAGTCAGCTAATAAACTTTTCAGCCCACCTTTTCCTTTCGAAAAACAATTGATCCTTATTTTCAGTTCATCAATAATTCCTCAATCTTTTTCATGTAATTTATGAAAAGGTTAAAACTAGGTACCTCCAAAGATTTGCTGAAAAGAAAGAGTAAACCATGATTAAAAAGGCTCCAAATTTGGTAAAAATAAAGTTTTATCATTAAAATGTTAGTAAGAGGAAAGACCAAAGTATTTTTTATTAATTTTTTTTAAATCCTTTCTAGCACATTCAGTTAACATTTTGGTTAAAAACCTCTTTTCTTGTGTCAGTGGGTGGGCCAGAGATTAGTATGGAAATTTAGCATCTTTTTTGCAGAAAAAAAAAACATTGTTTTGGAAATTCTTGCAAGAAATCAAATAATTATTGGATTTTAATAAAAATTTCCAGGACTTAGAAAGGATTAAAAATATTTTCAGGCTAGAAAGTTTTCAAAAATTTAATAAAATAATAAAAAAAATTACTTGGTCTTTTCTCTTAATCATAATATAAACATTTTGAAACTTTGTTTTTATCAAGTTTTAGGCCTTTTTTCATCATAGAAAACTTTTGGAGGTACCTACAATGTGAGAAAGATCACAAACCTGATTTAGACTTAATATAGACTGATTTATTATTATGAAAATATTTTTGCTTATTTTCAGGTGTTATATCAGTACAGAATTACAAAAGTAAAAAACAAATGATGGAAGGTGATCTTTTGAAGATGAACTTACAGGTGCAGAATCCTCAAAACAATTTTACCAGAACAGAAAATATTCAGCAGAGTCTACCCTACCCTGTCATTGGCCTAGTCGAGTCCATCAAATTCTATGACCCACAAATGCACAGTGAAATACTTAAACGATATCCTCAACTTGGTAATGGTTTTATAGAATTATTTCTGATGTATTTATTATCCCTGATTTTAAAGTTTTAAGACATCCTATTTCTACTTATTGGAATGTTTTGATTTACTTTAAAGAGAAAAGATCTATTTACTCTGAATCTAAATCAGTATGTTGTAAATTTCATCATCCTACCACCAAAGACAAACTGTCATCTAACAATTCTATATTTTAACCTCTCAACTACACTTAACAATGCCTTTAAATTTGATTTAGTATGATTATATTTCTTTGTAATATTGGTTATTTTTTTCCCCAAAAGTTATTACTGCCTGGTCAGTAATAGAAAAGTATTTGAGAATTCTTTGTAAAATGTGACCAGAACCCTTTTAGGGTATACCTTGCTATTGGTTAAGCTGTTTGGGTGTTTCCTATAGATTGCACAAAGAGTTTATCACCTTTTTAACGATTTCTATCTGAACATTAAAAACAAATGTATTTTCTAGAAAAAAAAATGTAATATTCAATGAGAATTCTGCCTGTAATTGAGAGTAGGTGGGGAAATGATTTAGTATTAAAAGAATCTTTTTGTAAAGAATATCATTGGCTCAATGCTAAGCAAGATTCTATTAGGCTAGCCAAAAGATTTGTTCATTTTATTAAGTAAATTTTATACTTTTTGGTCAACCCAATATATTTTCATTCTTTATACAAATTGAAATATAGAAATCACATCCAAATGTTAAATAATTTCTAAACAATATACATGTTAATATTTCATTGTTTTATTTAGATCGTCTTCAGAAAAGTATGAATGGAAATACTTGCTATCATTTTAGCTTGTGTTATTTTATAATTTTATCTTTTTTTTTCATTTTAGAAAAACATATTAATAATATAAATGTTTTAAAGATGTGAATAGTTGAAATATTAATAAATTTAATTTTCTTTTCAGACCAAATATTGATCAAGGGGAATAACTAAAAGAAATGTGTATGTAGATAAGTTGTTAAAAAAAAAAAAATTGTACAAATGAAATTACTGTCAGCTTGTAAAGGTGTATAAAGATTTGGGCTTGATTTTCCTATATATATATATATATATATATATATATATATATATATATATATATATATATAACTCACTCTTTTTATTTATAGTGGCTCTTTCTGAAGTGAAATCAAAGTTCAAAATCTACCGTGCAATCATCAAGACACATTATCGGAAATTAATTCATGCATTTACTGGTTTAATGTCATTGGAGGTAAGATGGGATTTAACTTTTATTTCAAATTTTTCTTTTTTAATCATTTGTCATTTTTAATGGCTATTGTTTTGGTTTAATATATTTTGAACTGAAATTTTACTTTCCTTTTACACACTTTTTTTACACCATTTTTTAATTGTCTATATGCTATCAACCAGAATTTTGACCAATCCTAACTTAGTGTTTCAATTAGGCCTAAAACCTTCTGAAAACAAATACCTTGTCCACTTTCTAAGAGGATGAACATTGCTGATGGGGTTAACTGATGAATCTATTTTTTCGGGGTGGGGGGTTATTGTGATTTGTACATAGGAAAATGTTTAAATAAAATGTACAGTATATGGATTTTAACATTTTCCTATGTATAAATAACACTGATTTGTTTGAAGATATTTATTTTAAATTTTGTTAAGTGTTAAATTTAAAAAAAATTACTTCATATTGACTGCAGGTTGCCATAGTAACAATTTTTCTTTAGCTCTTTCATCTGTTCTGATGATAAAATTTTAAATATCCAACTGGTTTTCAAATATTCCTTCTTACATCAGATATTTCATGTCAGTCATTTTATTATTATGAATTATGTGAAATCTCTTCAAAGATCCAGGTAAGTTTAAACTTATTTAAGCTACAAGCTTTTCTGTACATTTGTAATAGCCAAATACATTTATAATATTTTATTCTGATTTCAGCTTATTTCTTCTTTGGTACCACATTTAAGGCAATTCCAAGCTTTGATGTCTTTATCTTCAAACCTACTTTGCCCTCATATACTGAATCCTGGTAAAGGCGAGTCAGCTGAAAGTGGAGTAAACATTCCTTCAACTGTAAGTTACTTGATTTCATATGTAAAGTTCTGTATTCATACGTTAGCAATAGAATTGATGTTGTCAGATATATACTGTTATAATAATGCAGTTGTAGCTGATGATCCTATATTTCAACTTCAGAATAATCGATGTTATCACCTCAAATATGACACACTCTGAATGTAATGACTTCTAATTTATATTGTCTCATGACATCAGAGGAAGATGGTTGTAGTATGTCATTATTGATACTTGCTGAATGTTTATGAAGACCAAACAGTGAATGTGAGCATAGTTAAGTGGTGAATAATGTATTTCAACAGTGACAAGCCACATTCTGGGTGAACATCATAGCTGTCAACAAATGGAATGAATGCATTGATCAGCTCATCTATTGATTATTACTGGGGAAATGTCTACAAAACTGAATGTTTGAGTGATGAGGAAAAGGTGTTTGCAGCAGTGTTGGTTTTCAGTTTTATGAGAAGTCTTTGATTTTGATCACAAACAACTGAGGGAATATTCCTTCAGTTGTTTGTGATCAAAATGATTTTTTACCTTTTTAAAATAAAAAAAAGCAAAATTCTTTCAATATTTTATATAAGCATATATTTCTTTCATTTTTTTTAATTGGTCTTCCAGAAAATAGTATAAACAAAACAAACAGTCCTTTTTTACCCTTTTAGAAATTCATACCTCAAAATAACTAGAAGCCTAGCCAACTCTAAGAGACTTTATTTAAAAGAAAATTTGAAAATTCAATATTTGCTTTGTTTTTCTTCTTTTATGTGCAAAAACCAATTTCTACCTTTCACCCCACTTCCAAACTTATATAAATATTTAAAAAAACACAGTTATATTTAACATATCTCCTTTGCTTGGACACTTATACTTAACTTCAGAAAAAGACAGTTGAAATTTCTAGCACACATAATGAGGAAAAGGGGCTTGGGTAAATTTTACACTAGCAGGATATATTGAAGGCAAGAAGGACAGAGGAGAACAATGTGTAAGCTCTACCTAATGAGCCTGTGTGTAAATGGATGGCAAAACATTAGGAGGGATAAAATTTTTCACTTGCAGCACAATAGCAACAAACCCCATACCAGTTTGAAGAGCATTGATGATAATGTAAATTTTGGGTGGACTGTTCTACCATATGGTCCAGATTTGGCACCATTCCACTTTCATTTGCTTGGAGGCCACTGAAAGATAGACAAATATTTTTCTTATAACAACACCACTATTACTACAGTAAAAAAAAAAAAAAAAATGTGTCATCATCACACCTACATTGGTGCAGATTTTTATGAGTGTGGCAGGCAGGTTTCATTTAGAGTTGGTAAAAATACAAAGGCAGTAGTAATGATTATGTACAATGCAAAATTTTTAAAATAGTGTTTTGTAGCTGAAAATTTGTTCTATCCAACAGTGTTATGTTCTCTGTATCTGTTATACTTTCTGTGGAAATAAATAGGAGACATTGTATTCAGGGCAAAAGTGCATACCGCATTGGTGGTGACGATGTGGGAAAATAGTGTTTTGTAGCTGAAAACTTGCTTTATCCAACAATGTTTTTGTGCTTGCTCTATTTGTTGTAGTTTTCGCAAAAATTAATAGTCATTACTTTCGGAGTATCACGTATTTATCTTTTGTACAATGGAAAACAACGTTAAAATACTCTTCTTTTTTTATTATTTGCTTTATAATGAACAAAAATTAAGAAATAAAATCATGGAATTTGTCTTATTTTTTATTTAGTGTCTAATCATGAATTATATGTAATTACTAATATTCATTATAAAAGAAAGTAATTTGTATATTTCTATATAGTCATATGATAATTTGTTGGTTGACAATGATATATCACCATTGATATCATCATCATTAAATATAAATGTTGATGTTCTATTTAAGAAAAATAAAAGTGTAGAATATATAGTGATTTAAAATACATCACTAAGTTATATAACTATTCCTATGAAGTAGAATTGGAAATTCCCCAGACTAGACCTAAATAAAAATGTGCACCATAATTTCAATAAATATTCTGTATATTATTTAAATTTGGCCATCAGCACCTTCAAAATAATTGCATTGGCAATATACAAAGCAATCACATTACCTGGGGGTAGGGTATTGGGGTGTGGAGACAAACTTTGATGCAGGTACAGATATTCCACGAGAATCACCTGACAAACTCCAAGCTGATGGATTTTTTAGTGATTGACTTCATCGATTTTTTTTTTTTTTTTTTTTTTTTTTTTATCTACAATTTCTTACATTTTTCTGATGATTAGTCACAATCTTGAATGGACATCTGACTAACCTAGAAACATGCATGTCACACTGTGAAAACCTATGTTCATTATAAAGAATATTTGCATAAAATATCTTGTCAAATTTTATGCAAAATTTGATGTAAGTACATTGCTCGAAATTGTAAATCATATTACAGAGCTGTTCCAACACAGCATTGCAAAATCTTGCATAAGTGAACACAAATAGAAAGCCTGAAGGCAATTGGCAGACTGACTTAAAAGACTGCATCCCAATGAACATTTGCTATGCATGCATTACTGTTAAACTTTGCACTCACAGCATATGCAGTCAGAGAAATTTCCAGTTCTGACTTGTCTACCCTATCATATAATTTACTAGAACATAGACATAATAATGTTACCTATGTTACCACTACAACTTTAAGTGATTCGTGTCACTAAATCATCACAACATATTGTTTGTTTTGGGTTTATTTTTTATCCAGAAGAAATATAACTCCTCACAGATGAAAGCCATTGCAGCAGCAGGGTACATTGTACAGAAACCATTGAATCAACCATCTTACTGCCTCATTCAGGGACCACCAGGTACAGGCAAGTCCCACACAATCATTGGAATCATTCATAAAATAAAGGTAAATTGCTTTCAGATTTTTGTTTTTAATATTTACTATCTAACTAATACTTAGTTCCACTGGGAACCAAGTTTTCAAAGCTTGAAGACTGTAAATTAATTAAATTTGGGTTTGGTTGGTATATCAGAAGGAAGTGTCTTTGTTTGATTTTTCCAGACTAATTCCAGCATTCATTAATATTCAAATGAACTGGTTAGAAAAAATATTAAGTTTAAACTTTGGCATTTATTTTTATGATTTGGTTATAAAATCATATAAAAACTTGTTTGTATAACAATAAAAATTATACTATTTTATGAATTTTGTTTAGTTTAGTGACTGAGTGCATTTAAAAGCTGATATTATCTTTTCTCTTTGTTGTTTCAGCAAATTAATAAGGGTTGCAAGGTTTTATTGTGTGCACCATCAAATGGTGCAATTGATGAACTTACTCGACGTCTCATTAAGGAAAGACACATAGCTCAAGGTTTGTTCTTCAAATTCATTTTTGTGTCTTTATTGTGCTATATATTGTAAGTGTAAGCGTTCTCAAAGCAAATTTGTCGCAGATTACTCTCCCAACAAACGCTGTAGCCAAAAATGCCCGAATTTTCCTTCCACCGAATCAAGAACACCAACTGCTTTTATCGGCAGAACCTATTTTTTCATTCGTCGACAGCTGGGATAGGATGCTCCGTAATTTGCATATCAATATCCTCTTATAGCAACTCCTGTGACGGACTCGTTTCTTTTTCCGTCACATAATGCATGCGACGCGCTGTCGCTTGGGTTGACGAGGTAAGTCGCCGTTTTCTTCGCTATAAGATTTTTGATAACTACTTTTTAGTAATCCTTCTTCGGCAGATCGCACACAAAACACAAACTTTTTTCCAAGGTACCTGATTATCTCTTTCACTACACTCCCCCCCTGTCACATAAGTGACACTCATGGGCGGGCCTCTTTATTCTTAAGCTTCTCCGGAGCGGGGCGACTGTTGGAGGAGATTGTGTGTTATGTTCTGAGGTTTTTTTCTGATCTGACAACCTCATGCGCATAGTCTTCATCATCTGAAGAATGTTCTGAAGATTCTTTTTCTGAGGATTCTTCTGGTCTGACAACCTCACGCACAGAGTCTTCACCATCTGAAGAGGTGCTAGCCCTACCTCCGATGGTAATTATTTGTTCACTTTCTGAGCACTCACTGCTAGTGTCACTTGTTGATGTATCTGAACCTACATAGCGACGCAAGTCCTTTGTGTCTTGGGATGCCATCAACCAGCACAGAGCACGAGTTACTTAGTCCAGTGACATGCCCCACCCGGTACTGGGTTGTACACCGGCTATGTGGAGCTTTCAACCACACGCGATCGCCCAAGTCATACGGCGCATGTTCGTTTATCCGTTCAGTTGAGCGCATTGCATCAATGCCTTGTAGCCGGCCTTTATACTGATAAATTATGTTGGCTGGCGAAGTTGAGGGCTATATACATTATTGTCTCTTGGAGTAACGTTGTACCAATACACCGCCTCCATTATGGAACACTGCTTCTAGCAGCAATTTCTTTGATGTCTGGCGACATCGCCGATTATGCCATCCCTGGATGGGACACACGCGCAGCGAAATCTGAGGTGTACTCCCCACCTAATCCACAAAATCTTTGAATAGTCCACCGCGGAATGCAGTGTAAATTTGTCAGTGAGGAGTTCCGTCGGAGGTCCACATTCAAAGAACAATGACCCCAAGTGGTCCATGACGCTTGCGGAATCCTGTCGATGCAGACGCTGCCAAATAGTGAACCGGGAATCAGGGTTAAATAGTGATGTCCGTTATAATGGGTGATGCCCATTCCAACACGGTGCCACACCTTGCTTACACTCACTTGTCCTTTTTGCCATTGCACAGGTGCTGGGTCGATGGACTGACACTCCTTGCATCCTCTGACCACTGCCCTGACAGCAGCTTTGGATACGGAGGGATAAATCTGCCTCACGAAATATAGGGTCCGTTTTACACGGGATGTCCACTTTGGCAATGCACAGATTTTAGTAAATCTGAGTTATGGCTGCTCGCTGATGTTACACAGACATGTCCTACCGCTCTACCTCTTTCTTAATAGCGTCAAGCCATTTTTGGGGTACCCTTGTTAAAGTATCGGGCCTTGTTCTGCTGTGATCTGACCAGTTGTATGTCTAGGGATAAGTGGTATTCTTTTACCAACTTTCCCAGTGTGTCTAGCCACCTTGAATGAGCATCTTGTCGCAGCCTTTGTATGTATCCTAGCCTTCCCTGTGAAGAGTGTCTGCTATCCACTTATACACGCATGCGGAATCTGTGAATAAATGCAATACCTTTGCATTACATTGAAGGGCCGCGGTGACTCCCCCGATAACGGCGTTGACAGGTTGATATGTTGCGTATCCTTCTTAGGACGCAACCAACACGCATCTTCCACGACAGTATCACCTACTTCAAGAGACCCTCCTGTTGCAAGGGAGCTTGCGTCGACCCAGACGTTAAATTCACATCTGTCAACGCACCATTTACCACGTGACGGGTCGCCTTGACGCACCCTAGTAATGACTTCGCTATCATGTGTCTAAGGGGAGCATCATTGGTTGTGTCATCCCAACCGGAAGTGACAGCAGTCACCCTACATTTAATAAATGCAGTTGCAATGCGGATCCACCTGCCCACAGGAAAATGTCCCACCAGCTTTCCACATAACGAAAACACGCTGCATCAGGTCATGTGTTTGGGAATGTCCGGGAGCTCGTTTCCATGTTTCCAGTAAAGCATGTTGTGCTCCCCCCAGACCTGCACACGAGCACCATCCTCCAGTCGTTCTGGGTTCTTACATTCGAGCCCAACGTCAACAAGATGCTTTCTCACCTGTGAAATGGGTACTAAGGTTTTGTTGATGTAGAGATCGTCAATGTAGGCTGACGCCGCTGATTTAATTGTCTCATCCTGGGATAGCACAGCATCCACGATGGCTTTCATGATTGCCGGCGCTTACATTGAGTCCGAATCCCATTCGGGTTAAGCAGTATCTCGTCCCATTAAGGATCACCATCTGAAATGGCCACAGTGACGGTGCACGCAGCGTACCTGCAAGTAGGCCTTTCGAAGGTCAATCACAGAGACATTGGATCCCTTCATTCACCATTCTCTCAATTTTTGTGCACAAACATCAGCATGAGCTGTGTATGTGTCTACATGTTTGTTCAGTTCTCTATAATCTAGTACAAGGCGCACCTTTCTCTTGTTCTTTTGTACCACGGCCATCAACAGGATGAGGCCTCTTGGAGGACCAAGCTCTTCCTCGGGATACGGAGTCAGCCATCCATTATCCAGCCATACCTGCAATTCGCGCTGGTATTCTTCCTTGATGCGTTCGGGCACCGAATATTCTGACACTCGGTTCTGGAGCTTTTCTGGTGGGTTATTTTCCGACCATTTCCAAAATGCTGTCCATGTCTTTGTCCTTTGGTCAAACTCTGTGCTAAAGTCGGGCTCGTTGATCTTCAAAGTAGCACAGATGGGCGGATCAGAAAACTTGACTTCGCCTGCCTCTGTAATGCGTACGCCGCCCAGCTCCTTAATAATGTCCATCCCAAGGAGCAGATTGAAACCTAACAATGCGCTGTCCACGACCAACACACTGACTGTGACAGGGTCACCATTGTTGATACTGAGTTTGATGTTTCCAACCCCCGGCTTCTGAGAGCCTTTCCATCAGCTGTTAGTACGTCCATCTTTGTCTGCTCCACTGTCGCAAATCGAACCGCTCGTGGAGTGACCGAGAGCAGTCCGAATCTATTAAAGCAGTACGCGTTTATTCCATTGATGTGTACCTTAATCACAGGGAGCGCCTCTTTCATGCTCGGTGCGGGAAGAGACCCGCGCTGACGTCGCATCCCCATTCCATTTCCCGGACACTTAGAGGAAATATGACCTACTTTATGACATTGAAAGCATCATCAGATCGAGACGTGCCTTTTCGCTGACCCGCTGCGCATTTCTTCGCGTTGATAGCGGCAGTCTCTGGCAAAATGATTCGGCCCAGAGCACCAATAGCAGGTGGCAACGCCATGGTGACGAATGACTGGGGTCGGACCTTCTTTGACTTCAATTAGTTGAATAACAGTGGCCACTGGTTCATCAGCCTCTTTTTCGTCGATCATGACAGCACGGGCTCTGGTCAACAATTGATTGAGCGTCAGGTCTTCCATTCTGGATGATGTGCGGAGTATCTGCTTAACATGACTGGGCAATCCAGAAACGAAGACACATGTCATCCATTCTTCAGGAAGCGGTGTGATTGGAATGGCGAGCTTCTTTAATTCTGCCAAATATACGTCTACTGTCTCACCAGGTCGCAGACGCCGTGCCTGGAATTGGTTGTAGGCCACGAACCGGTCAGTTCCAAACGCGGTTAGTAGAGCGTGCTTTATTTGCTCAATGTCACTTTTCTGTTCTTTACTCAGCTGCCTATACACAGCAAGGGCACCGCCATTCAATCGCAGTGAGAGAATCCGTTCAATCTTCGTGATCTCGCATAATTCGCAGACCAGTTCCACCTTTTCGATCCATTCAACCACAGACTGTCCACTCGTATCACTACTGAATTCGGGGATCAGTTTAATATCGAACGATCTTTCCGCCATCTTAGAGACAAAGTAAACGCTTAAATAGCTTGTAAGTGTAAGCGTTCTCAAAGCAAATTTGTCAGATTACTCTCCCAACAAACTATATAGCCAAAATGCCCTTAATTTTCCTTCCACTGAATCGAGAACACCAACTGCTTTTATCGGCAGAACCTATTTTTTTCATTCGTCGACAGCTGGGATAGGATGTCCGTAATTTGCATATCAATATTCTTATCTTAACTCCTGCGACGGACTTGTTTTTTTCCGTCACAGAATATACGCGACGCCGCTTCAGGTCGCTTGGGTTGACGAGGTAAGTCGCTGTTTTCTTCGCTATAAGATTTTTGATTTGCGGTTTTTTGGTAATCCTTCTTCGCAGATCGCACAAAACACGGACTTTTTTCCGGGTACCTGATTATCTCTTTTTCTACACATATATATATATATAGGTAAAATATTTGTAAGTAATCAATATTTTACCAATAATTAAAAGTATAATTTTAGCAATGTATAAAGGATACAAAAATTGGCTATATTTCATCTTCATAATTGGAGGCACACTGTTCATATTTGGATGTTCTCATATTCAAAATATTATTGCTCTGAGTAAAATCTGAATAAACTTCAGAATGTTAACCAAATTAAAGACTAAATAGAAATTAAATATTGATTACGTTGTTTTTCCAGAATTTTCCTTTCTATTGTAAAACTGATGAAGCAAGATTTTAAAAGGAAGTTTGTATGTGTGTCAATATATTACACGTGTGTATGTGTCTGTACAAATGTATGTATATATATATATATATATATATATATATATATATATATATATATAT